ATACAAGTAATTTTGAAAAAGTGTTAACAATTAAGTTGGTGAGTTCATAAGCTTTTTAGATGAAGAGTTTGGAAACCGATCTTTGTAATGTGTGGTGTGTTACCAAGAAAAATCCAATATGTTCCTTACAAGAGTGATGTGTAGTCTTAAATTCCAAGACCGAAAGTGTACAGTTATATCCGTACTTATTGACATAAAAAGTGATTTTAAATCGACATAAAACCCTTTTTGATTTATAAAAATCCCCGTAAACTTTATGTGTTGTTAACTCCGTATGTGAGTCGCTATAACCATACTATGACTGAATGAACCTGCCACGACGTTTCTCAGGCGTCGAAAAAGATAATGACACTTGTCACCACAGACCTGCCAGTCTAGCTGTTACATGCAGCTCAGGTGTGGTTTGTCAAATACAATATAGATTCATACACAACTATCACGTTTTCCCTACAAGAGACTCTGGTTATAACTACCAGGAATTTTAACCCGTACTCTAGGAGTACTGAGAAGAATGTCTCACAATTTAAGTTAATAAGTTTACATGTAGTGTGCGTGAGTGTAAAACCTTATGTTGGTGGGAATAAAACCTTCCGAAATGTGTTTGTTGTGTTAGTGGAAACATAAACTATACATATTATAGTTTATCAAATAGTGGTAAGTGGTAGTTGAACATAAACTTTACTTATTACAGTTTATCAAAATGTTTAAATGTAATGGTTACAACTTTGTTTATTATAGTTAACTACTATATTTGTAAAGGTAAAACCCTTTTTGTTTACTAATATATACCTTTTACTAAGGTGAAATAACATGTAATATAACAACATGTATTTACATAAAATTACACACCTTGCTCAGAAAGCTACAAGGTGTAAATGAATTTGTTAACTATTTTTCTAGTTTTAGCTTTCCTGTTCCTGTTCTGAGAAACATTATAGGAAAATCATGAAAAGTCAAAATCAGAATCTGTAAATTCTGAGAGTTTAGAAAATGTGTCTAGTTTATTCATAAATATTTTTTATGATTTTTAGTGACCTCTAACTTGTGTGAAAACATCCATATTCACAGACTGGTTCGGATTTATTCTTGAAATGACAGGCAATTTTGTTAATATCACCATAAATCATAGAAAAATTGTATTGAGATGTGCAAGTAGTCATTTTAAAGGTATGAACCTGAACTATTTTCACCTAAAACAGTTTTGAAAACTAAAAAGCTTAAGATGTTAAAAACAGTCCGTGAATGGAGTTAAACTTTTCTGACGAAAGCTGATCGATGAGTTTAGTTGTATTCTTAGTATTTTAACTTGTATTCCCCTACCCCCCCCCCCCCTTAAAACATAAGAAAAACATGAAAAGATAGGGGTATGAACTCACCTTGTGTGGTTTCACTAAATGGATGATGAAGAAAGGAAGTGTTCAACTCAAGAACACTTTAGATGATGTTTGAAGATTCGAAGATCTAACACAAATATGATGATATTTGTGTAAGGAACTCATGATTTGAGTGAAGAAGTGTAAGGAAATCAAGTGTGGGAAGAGATTTACTTACCAAAGGTGTGTGAAGAGCTCAAGATCATCCTTGAATCTCGAATTCTTGGTGAGAGGAAGTGAGAGAGAATAGGCTTTGCTTTTTGGTGAAAAGTGAGTGAAATGGGAGAAGAGATAAGGATCCTTCTAGCCTTTGATCAAGATTATGGCTGGAAATGAGTGTAAATAGGAAAATGATTGACTAGGTATGGGTGAATAGTGACTGGGAATGGTTATGGAGTGGGTATGGGAGGTAACTTGTGTCCTTGCCCAAAGGATAAGTCAACACTCCACCTAAATATCTTACCCACTATATTTTTAATCTTAGATAATGATTACCCTCAAAATGTTATTAGATTATGGAATTATGGGGTCTTATATGTCAAAATATAAGTTTGGGTGAAAATCTCGCATTAAAATCATGAAAAACGAGCCTAAAACGCTAAAAGTATTGAAAACCAGGTAAAAGTTGCGAATATCCGAAGTCTGGGCCGGAGGTTCGGTCCTTGGTGCTTAGAACCGAAAGTAGATAGGAACCGAGAGGAGGGTTCGGTCTTGAGCAGATTCGCATGTGAGCCTGGGGAGGGAAGTGAAATGGAGCGAAGGTAGTCTCTGACCCGAAGGTAGCATCTCGGACCGAAGGGTGAGTTCGGGTTCGGTCCTTCTAGTTCGGTTCTTCAGCAGTTCGGTTCAAGAATCTTCTTGGGGTTTCGCTTCTTAGGGTTTCACCTCTAAGAGGTTCGGCTCTAAGAGGGTTCGACCCTAAATGGCTGTTTTTCAAATAAACTTCCTGTTTTGTGCGGTTTTTGACTAAATCAAGGGTCGGGATACCCCGAGTGATTATAAAATGTTGAGAGAGATTTTGAAAGAGATTTGGGAGAGATTTCACATACTTGGAGAGATTTATCATACTTAGAGAGATTTGGGAGATATTTCACATACTAAAAGGAGATTTGGGAGAAATTTCACATACTTAGGGAGATTTGGGAGAGATTTGTGGTAGCGAGAGAGATTTGAGAGAGATTTCATTCGAGACCTTTTTGGATGTCACAGCAACCCAAAAGGACCATGGACAACCGGTTCAAGTACTTACTAAATATAGCTACGAGCTTAGACACTGATCCAACAACAACTACTATCCCAGGGGAATTTGTTCCAATTCCTTCTTTACTTTTATGTTTTCTTTATCATGCATAACATGAAATGGGGACATTGCATAAATTAAGTGTGAGGTAGGGGGTTGGTTACATTATTCAAATTAGAATCTTACATTAGTTAAATTAGAATCCTAGGCTGAATTTTAAAAATTTATACAAATCTTGCATAAAAATTGCTAGGACTAAATTTAGAAAATTTTGGTAAAAAAGCAATTAGGATTCATGCTAGTATTATGTTTGATGATTCTATGAAGACCCCAAATGTTTAGTTGAGCCTATACACGTTATAATGTATTTGTGGCTCCTTTATTCTAGTGAAATCATGGGACAAAAACACAACCTCACTTAATTTGAGGATCGTAACATTTTAGCATCGTGTACCAGAAATGTATCCAGGAAAGCTTAGGTAGTCATTGCACTTAGACTAATGCCTTAACTAATAAAGGATGAACATAAGCTCCTTTCTTAAGCATGTAGGTTTGAGTGAAAAAAAAATAGTGAGATACATGTTGAAAAAAAACAGAGAGAAAAGTTACCAAAATTAAAGAATTTTGGACCAGTCAAATTATTAAAGTATGAAGATCAAAATTCTGAAGAAATTCAAAAGTTAAAGATACCAAAAATCAAACGAAAAGGTGGTGAATTCAAGAAATCAAAGAGATCAACAAAAAGGCGAGTCAGTCCCTGTGCTCGATGAGTCGAGCTTGTTTCCAGAAATTTATAAATAGGGACTTTGAGATCGACATCTAGTTTGGCTAGAGAACCCTTGGAGGCTAAGCTGCGATTGAAGGTACTGCTGGAGCGTGGGAAACTGAAGAATCAACCCTACATTCAATTTTGAGGAGAATCAAGGCAAATCAAACTTACTCTTTACTTAATCTCTTGTTTGAACCATGCTGAACTAATTGATTTCGTTTTTGAGCTATTTTCCATTGTAATCATGAGCTAAAACTCATATCCTCTGTTTAGGATAGATGATTTTGTGACTATGGATTGATTTATGGTTGGATTAATTGTTTATTGGTGAATTATGTTTTATTAAGCTTGTTAAAGAACCTTATGCATTAAGCACAATTATTTTATGTTAATTAGCAAGTAATTAAGCTGCATGAACATCTCTTAATTTCTTATCATATGATTTATGTGAAAACATTTTTATGTGTCTAGGAATAGCGAATGTAAAACTAGGGTTAACTAGAAAATGGGTAAATTAATGTGTGAGCTTGTGTGGTAAACCATCAACAAGAAGTTAATTGAATTAGTAATTTGATTAGCTAATTACAAGTCTTATTTAACCCGAATAAATTAAACTAGGAAATCTATTAGTTTAATCAACTGGCCACTGCTTGAATTGGTATGTTTTCTAAGGATTCATAATAGCGAATGTGAATCTAATCACACTAATTGATAGCCAATTCCAATTAATCCATTGCACTTGCCATAAAATCAACCATAGGAACAAATGATTCGAACCTAAACAGAAGTCTCCTTAATTATTGAATTTAGTTGATTTTTGTTGCTTTAGCTGATAGTTACTTAGTTTGAGTTTTAGTTGAGTATTTAAGTTTCTAGTCTTGCAAAACTAGAGAAAAACCTTTCCTTTTATTACTTGTTTTTAGATAAAATCAGTAATTAGTTTAATTGTCGTTCCCTGTGTTCGATACCCTGCTTGCTAAATTATACCACTAATTGATAGGTACACTGCCTTTTGTGTGTCAAATTCATATATAAAAAGTAGGATAAAACTAGTTCGTTTTACACACATCACTACTATAATACTAGTTTTTCCATTCATGTCGATAAGCATGGATGTAGGTTTGTAGTTAGCTATGTTATCATGGTCTATAAATTATAGAAGTCGCTAGGCGATATTAAATCGGTCTGGTCGACGACTAGTTAGGGACCATAAATTTTAAATTAGTTAAATTTTTAGTAAATAAATAAATATGACCAATATCATTACAAATTAGATAAATACGACTAATATCGTAACAACATAAGTTAATATGACTAATACAACACTAATACTTCTTCAAATAGCTTTTATTGAGATATAAATTTTTTAAAATGTTAAAAATTAATTGGATTCGATAACTTCACTAGTTGTCTAGGCAAGGATAAATTGTTACGTGTCACCTAGTCAGTCACATAAAGCATAAGGATCAATCGGCGACTAGAGTGGATTTTGTAATAATGATAATTCTGATGCATATATACTTCTTTTGGGAAAGAAAAAGACATGTAGCTTCTGGGGGAACATAAATATTAAGAAAGTAATAGATAGCTAAGATCTTTCATTGAACAAGTGGAGACTATGAAAGAGTTTGTTGATCTCAAGATGGTTGAACTTAAAACGGAGATGGCCAAGGAGGTTGAGAAGATAGAGAAAAATTATTATGTTCTTCATGGAAAATTTGATGTTATTCTTGATGTTATTGCAAAGATGGTTGAATACAATACCTCTTATTTGACCAAACTTGATGTGAAGACGGAACCACATTCCCAAGTATTTGCAAAGTTATAGGAGTTCTTAAGTAGTATCAAGGAATCCATTAGAAGGCCACTCTTTCAAATCAATATTATATTTTCCAAGACTCAATTTTTAAGTTTATTTCATCTATTGAGGCTAATCTTAAAGTGGAGCTTGCTCCCATCCTTGAGTTGGTTCTTCTTTTACCAACTAATGCTCCACCTACGAAGCATGTGTCACAAGGGGAGAGAAAGGATGTAGAGGCATTGGATCTTTGAAAGATACAGATAAAGGAGCAATTATTGGGAAGGTGATGTCCACTCAAATACCTACGTCACTTCCAATTTGATTAACAAAAACTTTGACAACTACCACAACAAGACCTATTATGAAAGGGATTGTTATAAGCGAAAGTGTTGGAGGTTCTGGTTCAAGCTTTATGCCACCTCCTTCGAAAGACAATCAAGGAGACAAAGGAAATGGTGTTTTGGTAACTCCATCAGAAGAAGAAAAGAAGAAACAACAAGCCTTGGAAACCGAAAGGCAGAGGCAAGTCAATAGTATACTGCGGAGAAGGCAGAATGATCCACTAGGCTTGAATAAGGGATATCCAAACAAGCATTGGTGTTATGAAACTATTGAGGAAATTGTCTTGGGAAGTTTGAGTATTTTCACAAAGTTCCAAAGAAAGTTATGAAGTTGAGAACTCTGATTTTAACCAACTTGATTTCCCAATAAATCATATGATGTACATATATTCTCAATACAAGTTAGTCGATCAATTCAAAGACAAAGAAGAATACAAAAGAGTGAAGATGAGATTTCATGTAATCTTGGGGGAAAGTGAAGAGGAGGTGTGGTCATCTGTGAAGATCATAAAAGTGATGTCTATTTCACGTGAGAACTTGTTCGAAGGCATACTATAGAGTTTTTGCTATGTGGTTGTTAGAGCGAATAATGTGGTCTATGATTTTTCAATTATTGATTTACCATTGATGAACTTAAATATTTGATTTGGTCACTATGACACAGATTTTAAGCAATGTGGATATTACAAAACTTCCAGAGAACAACAAGGATGATTTTCTCATTGACTTTGCTCACATCAAGGTGCTTATTGATAACTATTATGATTGTCTCACAATCACTGATATTGAGCTGGCTATGGCTATCAACAAGAGTTTAAAAGTTCCCCATTCCTTGCTAAAAAGGAAGATCAACATAGATGAGTATGAGGATGGGGAAATCATTCATCAGCCTGTTGGAGTGGTGTTTCATGGAAAAAAACACAGAAGGATAACGAAGTTTTTGTTTCAAGTTTACACTGTAGAGAGGTACACGAATTCCCAATATATAAGCCTTCTTGTTCGAATCAATAACTACAAAAGGAATGAAGCAGTTGAAAAGGTTTTATTTTCAAAAAACAATACTTTGGTATACGGAGATTCGCAGAGTACTTCAAACTATGAAGCCAATGACATGATTTCGTCTTTTCTCACTAAAGGGAGATTGCAGGATGCGAAGTGTATAGTGAGAAGTCGAAATTAGTTTTAGTTTGTTTATGTAACGCCTGTGTTTCTGGGCTTGCCATTTTTATCAATGTAATGGTCTAGGTTAACCTTTGTAACCCGTTTTGAAATAATAGAAGTGTATAATTTGAGTATTATGTGTTTTGTGCTTAATTGCTTAATTATGTGGTTTGATTAATTAAGAATAAAAATAAGCGTCAAAATTTAAGTGTAAAATAAACTCGATATCTTTAGATAATGTTGTAGTAGTTGAAACAAGGTTTCCGAAGATATAAAGAATGCCGAAATCCGAGTTATAACAAAGAAGTTATGACCTGTCGAAGTTTCGCGACAGAACCGGCACAACCCAGCGCGATGTAAATAGTGAATTTAAGGTAGATAGATATCTATCCTTAGTGATCTAAATGAGAAGTGAAGATCTCATCGATAGTAGTGCAACGACAGAAAGACGGACGGAATCGGAGTTCAGATGAAGGAGTTACGAATTTCGAACGGAGTTTTCCTGTCCCGGCCTACTAAAAATAATATATAAGTAATATACTTATAATATATTAAAAATAAAGTCAAAATTAGCCAATGGAGTCTAAACGAGAGTTTTAGATCATGATCTCACCTTCGCGGCGATATAAAGAACGTCGAAAACGGAGTTCGTATGCGAAAGTTATGAATTTCTGAGTTCGGGGCGCGAAACCCAAAAACTGTTAGAAACCACGACGTGGCAAGCAGTGCCACGACATGGCAAGTGTCCTGACACCTCCGGGAGGCCCCCAGATGCAACTTGGGATGACGCATGCAGTGACGACCAAGCCCACGACATGGAGAAAGGTTGCCACGATGTGGCAAGGGCCAAAATTGCCCTATAAATAGATTTGAAGGGCCAGCCGTTTAGGGTTGCTATTTTCTCTCTTCTCTCTCCCGTTTTACCTCGATTTGCATGCTAGAAGTACCCCGAAGCCCCAGTAATATTCCTGAGTCCTGAAGCAAGTCCCGAGATCCCGAAGATCCCGAGAAGTGCGGTTTTCGAGCCGAAGCTCTGCCTGCGAGAAGTTCGATTTTTGTAGAGATCTTCCAGATCTGCTGCGGATTACTACTTTTGCAAGCCGTAGTGCTGTCTGATCATCTTCTGATCAAGTGAGTGTATACTACCTTTCATAAACGCAATAATAATACAAGTATGGTTTGAGTGTATTAAGTATATTGTTGTTTATACGTGTGAGTGCGTTGTTACTTTCTCCTAACGTATAATCATGAAGTATTTTATACGAGATACGTGTTATGTGTATACTTTGTTGTTATGTGTGTGAATGTATATTCACTTTCTTCTATCTTACAGATCTGATTATTTCTATATGAAATACGTGTTATGTGTGTGTGCCTCATCTGTTATATGGAAAATGTATTGATCAAGCATGCTATACAGGTTTTGAAAATATGTATAAAAATGTATGTTTTTATCTACTAATATGTTGGGTAGAACATGGGTAGATAGTTGGTGTGTAATAAACAGATGAGAGGCCTCGTTGTTGTTTTGATCCAGTCATCCAGCGGAATTTAGATGACGACCACGAACTTTTCTAGACAGTCCAGTGGAACGCTAGCAGGCTCATAACCTGTAGGTGTTAATGAACTTGGGTGTTCATTTGTTGTATTCCATCCCCCTTATGGTTGCCTTATTTGACTTATATTGCTGAGGAACCCCCGCAGCATGTGTTGTCACCCCGATGAAAATATTCTTAGATTAGGTCCCTTGTGTTAGTTATTTTTGGGACGTAAAGTGAGAATAACGGGAACGGGTAACTGGATTATTGTTGGTTGATAAAAATTAATTTAATTATTAATTGTGGGTTGAAAACCCTATATGCTCACCAGGCTCCCAAGCCTGACCCACTCAGTTTTATTTGTATTACAGGAAGTGGCGCAAGGGCGTAAGATGGATGAACCATCAAGTTGTTTTGTTTACAAGTTTGTATATGTATATATTTGTTGAATGACTTGTAATGTTATCGTTTATGCTTATTGATCTATATCGGAACATGACACCCTGAGTTTTGATTATATAATGAAAAATACATTTCTTTTATGAAATGCTTTGGTAAACATTGTTTTATCATATTTTGTTTTTGGGAACAAATTCCGCAACTCTTTCAAATCAAAAGGATTTACTCTGAATTTATTTTAAAAGCATAAATGAAAATCGGTCTTTTCTGGCCGAGATTTTGGGGATGTCACAGTTGGTATCAGAGCATTAGTTTAAGCGAACTAGGAATTTGTAGGATTTCTAGACTTAAACTTAGAATGCTAAGTGGAATTTTGAGATGTGTGTCTGTTATATTTTAGACACGAGCACTAGTTTATTTTAGGAGGGTTGCCTAAAATGCTTGATGTGCTAAATGTTATATGTTGCCATATATGATATTATTTGTTCGGATCTATGGTCTGTTGCCGACCGGATCTAGAAACCTTATGTGTGTAGGATTCTAAGCGTACGTCTACGATATTAGAACTAGCATGTAAACGTTTCGGAGTGATAAGGATGATTTGAATATCTATCGTGAATGAGGATCTAATTTCACCTTATTCAGTGTGTAGATCAAAAATGGTGAGAACAAGAAGTGGAGTTGGAAATGCTGATGAAAACAGGAATCAACCACCAGTGATTGAACAAAGACCTGTTGTAGCGGCAACACCTGAGCCAATTACAATGGCTGGTGTGCAAATGATGATTCAAACAATGTTGGATCGTCAGATGGATGAAACTAGACGGTTGCTTCAACAGAATCGTGAAGAACTGTCAATTCGTGTGGAAGAGCCTGAATTAAATGAAGGGCACTCGGAAGGTGGAAACTTCAGTGGGTCTGTTGGTCAAGCCAACCCACCGATAGTTAGGCGAGACAACCATAATGGAAGGAATGATGGAATGGGATGCAAGTACAAGGACTTTCTAACTTGCAAACCATCGACCTTCAATGGAAACGAGGATCCGATTGGAGTTATGGATTGGATCTCAGAAATGGAATTGGCCTTCATGACTTGTGGTTGTAGAGGCAAGTTGCAGACCATCTATGCAGTGCGTCAATTCCGAGGTGGAGCTGTTCGTTGGTGGAACACTCTAGGGAAGACTTTAAGCCCAAGTGAGCCACTGCAATTGTCATGGGCAGAATTCTTGGTGCAGTTCAAGCGCAAGTTCTGCTCGGCTCAAAATCTATTGGAGCTAGAGAACAAGTTTCCGACACTAACGAAAGGCAGCATGTCAGTTGATGAATACACCAATAACTTCACCGATAAAATGGAGTTTGCCTTGCGTATCGTTCCAGACGAGCTGACAAAGGTGGACCGGTATGCGAAGGGACTCCCATGGGAGTATGAGGTGCCAGTACGTCAGGCACATACTTTAGAGGCAGCTATCTGGGCTACCAAGTCTGTTGAGAACATGATAAAGGGGAGAACCACCAACAAGGTTGAGGTTGGTGAGAAGAGGAAGTTTGAGGCAACATCTGGTTCTGGTAAGAAAAGCAAATTTTCGAAATCTGATTCGAAAAGGTTTGGTGGGGGAAAAGGAGGAGAAGCGAAGTGGTGTGATAAGTGTAAGAAAAAGCACTTTGGGAAATGTAGTGAGGATGTAACCTGCTACAAGTATGGGAAGGTTGGACATTTTGCCAATGAATGTCCGAACAACAAAAGGATGTGTTTTGGTTGTAATGAAGAGGGGCACATTTTGAAAGATTGTCCGAAGAAGAAGGAGACAGCTA